TCCTCCTCTTCTGGATGCCAATGCATGGGTATAGATCATAGCGCCAAATAATAGCCGCATGAGCCGGTACCTGAGCTTCAACACGTAAGGTCCAATGACGACGGTGCCGTCGTGTTTGGCTGATCCGCACCTTCTCCGTGACATTCGATTGCATAGGTGGTCGTCAAAATAGGAGCTTTCGACTCCGTAAGGCTGGAAAAAGACCTACTGCTTGGGAAGTCTTAGTGGCCCCACATGGGGCGCCGGCTCCCGCACACGTTCCGACTCCACCCCCGACGCCGGCTCCGACTCCAGCTCCGACAATGCCGTCCCTCACTACCACGGCGGCTTCGACTCCAGTTTCAGCACCCCTTTCGCCCGCTCTGCCAGCACCGACTCCGGCACCAACCCCGACACCAACACCTGTTCTGTCACCAGCTCCGGCCCCCGATCGGCCGCCTCCGACTCCATCTGCGACTTCTGACCCGGCTACCAATCCCACTCCTACCCCACTCACGATTCGGGTTTCTGACTCTGACATCAACGCCAGGTCTAGGGAGGCGACCGTTTAGATCTCCACGACGATCCCGCCAGCATCGACTCCAGCTCCGACCCCGGCGTATCAGCCACACGACCAGGACAACTACAGGTCAGCTTTTCCACCTCCCAGTTCGTGATCTGGCACACCAACGCACAAGGTACTGCGTCTACATCTCCACCTGAACAGCCCTATGCGTGCCGCGAGGGCCTGGCGAGGAGTTTCATGGGCGGCCGGCACTATTCGCTTTCCCCTTGCTTTTCCTCTGCTCATTTTGTTGCTTTCCTTCCGTGTTTTTTTTTCAGGCCGCCCAACACACAGGTGTTCGCGCCCCGTCGGTCCCGCCCCTGCCCGGCAGTATTCGGGCCAGCATTGCCGCGCGCACCGTGCAGCAACCAGTGCAAGTTCTTGGACTGTGTCTTCCTTCCTCTCCTCCCCTCTTTCCTCCCCCTTTGTACCGGTCGTGCTCGCGTGGGATATTGCGCGGGTGCCGTCTACCTGGGTCGGCCTACGCACGCGCGAGGTTTTGTTAGGGCGCGTTCTTCGTCCTCGTCCTCCTCCTCTTGTGTAGGTTCACGCTCCGGCCAGTTTACGTGGTTATTCACGGAATTCGGAACAGCCAGTTTCAAATCCGTACTTGGGTTTTCCACACTCGCTCTGGCGCATGCCCCGCTGCGCACCGACGGAAAATACATGATTATGATGGGTACGCTGGTGTACATTGCTGTGCGGCGTTCGCCATTCATCGGGGGAGCATTCCGCCCGCGGGTCACGTTTAAACGACCCACCGTCGTTAACCAGAGGTGACGCTGAGCTGGTTGAAGTGGAAAAAAGGTTTCCATAAAAACTCGCAAGGGCGCGAGCACATGTTTGTGATGTCAAAAAGTTCTTTGGGTCAAAAATTCCAGTTGCGAAGTCATGATATTTTGTATGAGTTCGGGGCTCTCGATTTCGAAATCCTTACGCCGTTCAAAGTTTGTGCAGGATTCTGGCATGCGCGCGCGACTACGCGCGCGTGTGTACTCCGTTTCTTTTTTTGCAAAGGGGCTCTTGCGACAGCATGCGCTCAAGGCCGTTCGAATGATTCCGACAAGTGCGCGCGAAGGGCACGCTAGGTCGCATTCGATGAAACGGTTCGAGGGAGCGCGTTTCACGGGCGTTTGCCATGGGAACATTCGGCGGCGCGTTTTGAACCGGGGGGGGGTCCCCCGCCCAACATTCGGCGCCGTCGATCAGAACCTGGGGGACCCCCCTCCCTCCTGACCCCCCCCTCCCCGACCCCCCCCATCCCCCCCTGCCCACGGAGGGCGGGGGTTCGAACACCCACCCCCCCCCCCCCCCGGCGCCGGGTGGTGTGTGTGTGTGTGTGTGTGTGTGTGTGTGTGTGTGTTCGAACCCCCCCGTCGTCAGGGGGGGGTGTGGGGGTTCGAGTCCACACCCTTTTATTCGCCGCCGACAGACGAGGTCGACGTCGACGACGAGGACGACGGCGATAACCGACGATAAATAACTGACGATCACCGACGACGATGACGACGACGACAACCGACGACGACGACGATGTCGACGACGACGACGACGAGGACATCGACGACGACGACGACGATGACGACGACATCGACGACGACGACGCCGACAAAGAAAACGACGACGATGACGACGACGCCGACGACGACGCCGACGACGACGCCTCACACGACGACGACGGCGACGACGACGACGACGACGACGACGATGACGCCGCCGCCGCCGACGACGACGACGACGACGTCGCCACACATGAGAACGCTAGCGGGCGGGTCGGGCGGGTCGGGACGGGCGGGCGGGACACTGAAGTACGATGCGTATCCCGCATGACACATGTGAGCCCTAACGAGCGGGTCGGGCGGGTCGGGACGGGCGGACCCTATCGGGCGGGTCGGGCGGGCGGACGCTATCGGGCGGGTCGGATCGGGCGGGCAGGACGCTAAAATATGATGCGTATCCAGAATGACACATGAGAGCCCTATCAGGCGGGTCGGGCGGGGGACGGGCGGACCCTATCGGGCGGGTCGGGCGGGCGGACCCAATCGGGCGGGTCGGGTCGGGCGGGCAGGACGCTAAAATATGATGCGTATGCAGAATGACACATGAGAGCCCTAACGGGCGGGTCTGGCGGGTCCGGACGGGCGGACCCTATCGGGCGGGTCTGGCGGGCTGACCCTATCGGGCGGGTCGGGTCGGGCGGGCGGGACACTAGAATATGATGCGTATCCCAGCATGACTCATAAGACCCCCGAATGGGCGGGTCGGGCGGGTCGGGACGGACCCTATCGGGCGGGTCGGGCGGGTCGGGCGGGCGGACGCTATCGGGCGGGTCGGGTCGGGCGGGCGGGACGCTAAAATATGATGCGTATCCAGAATGACACATGAGAGCCCTAACGGGCGGGTCGGGCGGGTCGGGCGGGCGGACCCTATCGGGCGGGTCGGGTCGGGCGGGTCGGATCGGGCGGGCAGGACGCTAAAATATGATGCGTATCCAGAATGACACATGAGAGCCCTAACGGGCGGGTCTGGCGGGTCCGGACGGGCGGACCCTATCGGGCGGGTCTGGCGGGCTGACCCTATCGGGCGGGTCGGGTCGGGCGGGCGGGACACTAGAATATGATGCGTATCCAGCATGACTAGCATGACTCATAAGACCCCCGAATGGGCGGGTCGGGCGGGTCGGGACGGGCGGACCCTATCGGGCGGGTCGGGCGGGCCGGGCGGGCGGACCCTATCTGGCGGGTCGCGTCGGGCGGGCGGGACACTAAAGTATGATGCGTATCCAGCATAATTCATAAGAGCACTAACGGGTGGGTCTGGCGGGTCGGGACGGGCGGACCCTATCGGGCGGTTTGGGCGGGCTGACCCTGTCGGGCGGGTCGGGTCGGGCGGGCGGGACACTAAACTATGATGCGTATCCAGCATGACACATGAGAGCACTAACGGGCGGACTCTTCCGTACATTCATCCAGCATCCTCCTCCTCGTTCCTTCGCCATCGTCGTCGTCGTCTCCGTCGCCGGCGCATTCGTCTTCGTCGTCGCCGTCGTCGGTTTTCGTCGTCGTCGTCGTCGTCGTCCTCGCCGCCGTCCCCCGGCGCTGGCCGCTGCTGGCGCCAGCGGGAGCCGGCGCTGGGGGGGGGGGCCGGGGTGGGGGGGTTCGAACCCCCCCCCTGGCGCGCGGAAGGGGGGGGGGCGGGTTCGCGGAAGGGGGGGGGGCGGGTTCGACCCCCCTCCCCCCCCCCCGTGACGAGAGAGAGGGAGGGGGCGGGGGGTTCGGAGACCCCCCGTTCAACGGTTGAACAGCCCATGGTTTGCTTAAGAATTCGCAAGTGCGCGAGCGCAATGTTTCTTGAATGTCCCTGTTACGAAACTATTGTTCTTCATATGTTTTCGGGACAATCGATTTCGGAATCCTTACGACATTCGAGGCTTTGAAGGAGTTCGGGATGCGCGCGCGGCGACGCGCGCCTGTGCACATCGCCCCGTTTGTTGCAGTGGATTCTTGAACACAATTTTTTGAATATGACATGTGCGCGCGTGTTTTTTTCGTGTGCAAGGAATGAGGTTGGTGTCGATACTGGCTTGGCTGGGATCAGATGGATTCATATTTCGAATGAGGGATGCGGCAGAATCATGTGTACATTGCACATCCCAAGAAAGGGGGGCGAAGAAGTCCGTCTTCGGAAGGGTGGTGAATCCGAACCTTTTTTCTAGAGCGGAGAAACTACGAGGTGTAAGCTATGCAAGTGGCGTAAGCTGTGTACTGCAATCCATGCGGTGCGAGCTACGTGGTGCAATCGATGTGTTGCAATACATGTGGTGCAATCTATGTGGTGCAGTCTCGGTGGCGCAACATATGTGGTGCAAGCTGTGTGGTGTATGCGAAGCAATGCAAATCAATGTAACGCAGCGGAAAGTAACGCAGCGAAAACAGTCCAGAACAATGTAATGCAATGCGTGGTAGGGTAAAACGATACACCGTAACGCAAAGCAATGCCACGCAATGCAGAGCAATCTAAATCAATGTCAAGCAGCGCCCAGCAGTGTCAAGCAATGCGAAGCAAAGCGAAGCGGGCGGACGACGAAGCGGCGACGGCGAGTACATGGCGGCCAGAGCGGCCCACCGGCCCTTGCGAAGCGGGCGGCGACGGGAGGCGGCGACGGCGACTACATGGCGGCCAGAGCGGCCCGCAGGCCCAAACGACGGGCGACGACGGGAGGCGTCGACGGCGGCGACTTGGCGGCCAGAGCGGCCGCAGGACCAGGCGACGGGCGGCGACGGGCGGCGACGAGGCGGCGGCAGCGGCTACATGGCGGCCCGGGTGCAAGCATTGCTTGGGGAAGCTGTTGGTGCATTTTTTCGTTATGACTGTGACTCACATTGTCAATCCAGGCTCTGTTCTCGAGCACACGAGGGGCAGCGGTGCCTCCTTGGCCCCTCCTCTTCTCCCCGAGGCTGTGTGGCTGTGCTGCATGGAAGCGCCCTGGAGTCAGAGGCCGCTGCCGCCGTGGCACCAAGGCGCCCTGCGCGGTCGGGTCGGATGTGGAATTGGATGGGGAGGAGGGGGAGGATGTGGGCGATGAGGATGATGACGGTGGTGATGATGGTGGTGCTGATTATGGTGATGATCAAGATGATTAGGCTGACGAGGTTTCGATGTCGATGAAGTTTATGTTGATGTTTTGGGGGGATGGTGGTGATGATGACGATGGCGACGACGATGACGATGACGACGAAGATGGTCATGGCCAGGAACAGAAAGTTGATGACAACTGCGTATGGTGATGCCGACCACGTTTATGGTGATGACTGTTATGATGTAGCGTCATGGCGGAGGAATGACACCGAGTGGGATGATACGGATGATGGTGATGATACTGACCGCGATGGTAAAGGTGATGTTCATGATGACGATCATGATGATGCTGATGATGATGATGATGATGATGCTGATGATGATGATGATGATGCTGATGATGATGATGCTGCTGATGATGATGATGATGATGATGATGATGACGGCGATGACAACGACGATGGTGACGATGATGGTGCTGCTGATGACGATGATGCTGAGGCTGCTGCAGCTGCTGCTGACGACGACGATGATGATGATGATAATGCTGCTGATGCTGCTGCTGCTGCTGATGATGATGATGATGATGATGATGATGATGATGATGATGCTGATGATGCTGTTCATGAGTAGCATGGTGATGGCGAGGAACATAGTGGTATGATGGACGGAGGAGCGGAAAAGAGGCGTGGAATGACGACGTTGTTGAGCCCCGCCCGCCCGACCCGCCCGTTAGGGCCCGCCCGCCCGACTTGGCCGTTAGTGCCCGCCCGCCCGACCCGGCCGTTAGTGCCCGCCCGATAGCCTGCCTGGGCACCCGCCCGCCCGCTTTGATGTCCCGCCCGCTCCGCCCGTTAGGATCCGCCCGCCCGGCCCGCCCGTTAGGGTCCGCCTGCCAATCTTCATGCTCCCCACTCCTCCACCTCATGTTTTTGTTTGTCCTCAATCCTCCTCCCTCCTTCTTGCCTCCCTCCCTTCTCGTTTCCTCCTCCGTTCCCCGCCCTTTCCCCCCCTCTGTTTTGACCGCACCAACTACACACGGCAGGCAAGGAACACGTATCCCCAAACAAGGTACGATCGATGACGAAGAGGGCGTGTATCGAGGGTTTGGAGTTGACATGCTGGATCGCACGCGAGCAACGAGGAGCGACCAATCTTAATATTGTTGTTGATGATGGCGATGACGATGGCGGTAGTTCTGCTGATGGTGATGACGGTTGTGGCCTTGAGGACGGTGATGGACATGTCTGGGGATTCCCCAACGCGCATCACGGTAAACTTGATGTGGGGAGGAGGACGGGGGAACACTTGGAGGGCGAGGGAAGGGAGGATGACCACGAGGAGGAGTGGACGAAGAAGGAGAAGCAGGAGGATGAGGAGAAGGGGGCGGGTGCAGACCATGGAGAGGAAGCGGCGACCTCCACCCATATGCCAGCAGTATCTGGGATGGAGGGTTTCCTTGAAGGGCTTAGGCGACCCGTCCTCCCCCCCTCCTCTTCCTCTTCCTCCTCCTCCTCCTCCTCCTCCTCTTCCTTCCTCCTCCTCCTCCTTCTCCTCCTCCTCCTCCATCTCCTGCTCCCCCCTCCTCCACCTCCTCCTCCTCCACCTCCTCCTCCTCCTCCTCGGGTCGCCTACGGCCCCAGGGGAACCCGTGCAATCTGGGTGAGCCAGCAGCTGCGCTGGGGCTCCCCAGATCCCTGGCGGATTGCGCCAGTCCGACGCTTCAACCTCATGCCGCTTCGAGCCGCAGAGCTTTCATCACTGCCACCAGTCTTCGTTTTTGCTGCAGCAGCCGCATGCCAGCACCTCCAGTTTGGTATCGTGGGACCAGTTGGCCCACTCTTTCCATTTGCGGCCAGCTTTGCGTCCCATGGATCCTGGAAGAGCGCGCCTCGCACCGTTGTGCGAGGGATCGCGAATGAGGGAAAGGGTCTCTCTGCGAGAACGTGGCTCTGCCGCGGTTGATTGTTGCAACCAGATGGGCAGAGGATCGGAGACACTGCTGATGTGGCCAGCTGCCGCCGAGAGAAGGTAACTTTTACCCAATGACTGCGACATTTTCCTCCCCCTCCAGGACACAATGTTTCAAGATCGAGCAGCTGTGTGTTTTCCTTGTGCATCTTATACAAGCAGATTGTTGTTGGCGTTCCAACATGGTGCTCCCGCTGCATCGCTGGCCTCGTTTTCGGACCGATTCTTTGCTCCCGTTTTTCAGAATGGCGCTCTCGCCCAAGCGCGGGCTTCTTTTTTGGATCCGAGTCCTTCCTCATCATGGTCGCCCCCTCCCTTTCCCCTCCTCCGGCTTCCCCGGGTCCTCCTGCTCCTCCCGCTCCTTCCGCTCCAGTTCCCGCTGCTGCCGTTCGTCCTCGTTCTCCCTCTTCCTCATCCTCCTCCCTTTCCCCCTGCTCAGCTCCCCCTTCTCCTGTGGAACGTGGCACGATTGGGGTCCTCTCAGGAGTTCCATGGCTCGCTGTGACACGCACGCACCCGCGGAGACGGAGAACACATCCGCGCAGCAGGAGAGGGGCGTCAGATGTCAGACGTGGGGCGAGCGCGCCCGGATTGCCTTCCCACCCTCTGCCTTCTCCCCCCCCCTCCTCCGTCTCCCTCTCCCGCTCCCGCTCCCTCCCCCTCTCCCTCCGCCTCCCTCCGCTCCCTCCCTCTCGCCGTCCCTCTCTCCCTTCGCTCCACTCCCTCCCACCCTCCTTCTCTTCCTTCCTTCTCTTCCTTCCTTCTCTTCCTTCCTCTCTTTCTCCCTCTCCCTCCCTCCCTCGCTTCCCCCCCTCCGTCTCCCTCTCCCGCTCCACTCCCTCCCTCTCTGCCTCCACCTCGGCCCCTTCCCTCACTCCCTCCTCCTCCATCCTTCCCCCTCCTCCTCTCTTCTCGCCTTCCACCCCCTACCTGCCCCCCCACTACCAAGAGAAGGAGGAGGAGGAGGAGGAGGAGGAGGCGGAGCAGGAGGAGGAGGAGGAGGAGGAGGGAGATGAGCAGGAGAAATGGGAGCAGGCGGGGGAAGAAGAGGTTAATGATGATGACGTTGCTGCTGCTGCTGCTGCTGATGATGATGACGATGATGATGATGATGATGCTGATGCTGCTGCTGATGCTGATGCAGATGATGATGATGATGATGATGATGATGATGATGATGATGATGATGTTGATGATGAGGATGATGCTGATGATGATGATGGTGATGATGATGATGAGGAGGAGGAGGAGATGGAGGAGGATGAGTTGGAGGAGGAGAAGGAGGAAGAAGAGTGGGACGGCGACGACCTCGATGCTGATGCTGCTGATGACGATGATGGTGATGATGATGACGATGACGATGCCGATGATGATGATGATGATGATGATGATGATGATGATGATGATGATGATGATGATGATGATGCTGATGGTGATTAGGATGAAGCTTATGCTGATGATGATGCTAATGATGATGATAATGATGCTGCTCATGATGATGATGCTGATGATGCTGATGATGATGATGATGCTGAACATGAAGATGCTGATACTGCTGCTGATGATGGCGATGGTAGCGATGTTGCTGATGATGACCATGCTGACGCTGCTGATGCTGATGCTGATGATGATAAGGATGATGATGATGACGATGATGCTTATCTTGATGATACTGGTAATGCTAGTATGCTGATACTGCTGATGCTGATGCTGATGCTGCTGATGATCATGATGATGATGATTCTGCTGCCGCTGCTGACGATGTTGATGATGCTGATGATGATGAGGATGCTGCTGCTGCTGATGATTCTGGCGATGACGATGGTGATGACGATGATGCTGCTGATGATGATGCTGATGATGCTGATCACGCTGACGATGCCGATGATGAATCTGCTGATTATGATGCTGATGTTGATGGGTGATGATGCTGTTGTTGATGATTTTGATGTTGATGATGCTGATGCTGATGATGTTGATGATGGGCGAGAATGATGCGTTATCTGATGAGGTGGATGAGGAGGAAGAGGAGGACTAGACGTGGGATGGCGGTGGTGGTGTTGTTGTTGATGATTGTGACGATGATGACGATGCCGGTGCTGTGGGTGATGATGTTCATGTTGGTGATGATGGTGATGATGCTGCTGCTGATGATGCTGATGCTGCTGCTGCTGATGATTATGATGATGTCAATGTTGCTGCTGATGATGATGATGATAATGATGATGATGATGATGATGATGATGATGATGATGATGATGATGATGATGATGATGATGATGATGATGATGATGATGATGATGATGATGATGATGCTGCTGCTGTTGTTGTTGTTGGTGGTGGTGAAACTGAGGATTGGCGAGGAGGAGCAGGAGGATGAGGGGTTGCTGGCGATGATGCTGATGCTGATGATGATGCTGCTGCTGATTGTGGTGACGATGATTCGGCGGGATGGTGACTGGGAGTGATTGGGGGAGGAGAAGGAGACGGACAGGAGGAGGGTGAGAAGCATGAAGAGGCTTCTTTGAGTGATGAAGAGGATTCTGTTGCTGCTGTGAGGATGAGGATGAGGATTAGGATGAATTTGAATTTGAGTTTGAGTCTGAGTTTCAGTTTTGAGTTCCAGGAGGAGGGGTAGTAGTAGTAGTAGTAGTAGTAGTAGTAGTAGTAGTAGTAGTAGTAGTAGTAGTAGTAGTAGTAGTATTAGTAGTAGTAGTAGTAATAGTAGTAGTAGTAGTAGTAGTAGTAGTAGTAGTAGTAGTAGTAGTAGTAGTAGTAGTAGTAGTAGTAGTAGTAGTAGTAGTAGTAGTAGTAGTAGTAGAGAGGAAGAGGAGGAGGAGGAGGAGGAAGAGAGGATGAGGAGGAGGAGTTGGACGCGGAGGAGGAGGAGGAGGAGGAGGAGGAGGAGGAGGATGAGGAGGAGGAGTAGGAGGAGGAGGAGGAGGAGGAGGAGGAGGAGGAGGTGGAGGAGGAGGGGAAGGAGTTGGAGCAGAGGGCACGCTTGTCGCCCCGAGGCACTCCGACCTCTCGCGCAGGGCGAGCATGGCGAGACCTGAGGCGCTGCATGCATGCCGTGGGCGGGGGGGGAGGGTGGTCGGGGAGTGAGACCTGGGAGTGGATGAGGGGGACGGGGACTCGACGGGGACGAGGGGGATTGGATGTGGAGAGAGGGGGAGGGGGAGGGATGGAGGAGGGTATGCGGGAGGGGACGGTGAGGGGCAGGGGGAGGAGGGCGACGAGGTCGAGGATGCGGATGTTGGTGGTGGTAGAGATGGTGATGAGGATGACGATGCTGATGGTGGCGGTGATGATGCTACGAGCGACAACACTGATGACAATGTCGATGACGCGGGTTCAGCTGCTAATGACGACGGCGGCAACGACGACGATCACGATGACGATGATGGTGATGCTGATTAGGATGAACATGATGATGCTGATGATGCTGATGCTGATGACGATGTTGCTGCTGCTGCTGCT